CTTTAAGGTATATAAAGCTGGTATTATGTAAGGTGTTCTATAGGCTATTCTCCTACGTCTATGTCTTCCTTTATCTAAAATTATTCAATATGCCACAGTTTCATGGAGCTGATGCAGCTGAGATACCTGAAGGGAAGCAAAAAAAGGTAGGTACATGGGGGGGGGCACCATGTATATATAAGCTCTCTTGTAGGGTCGGAGAGCAGGATCCTTGTAGCCATTCCTAGATGCTTTTGAATCCTATTCTTGGTGCTAGAAATCCTAAATGACCCTAAGCACCTCATACTTTGAGAATTCTGGTATCGTTCAAGAACATAGTTTACAGTAGAGTTTACAGTAGACTGTCCTAAAGCTCCTGACTTCCTCTTCCGGGTTATAAGAGCCATTATTATGCAACATAGCCGTATAGCCCCTCCCATCCGGTACAATCATGACCCCCAGTAATATTATTCTTTTGAAAGAAGCCACCAGATGACCCTCTAACCCGTGTACGATCCCCAGATTCAACACAGGTTCAGGGTTCAGGGTTTAGGCTTATGTTCCAGGTCTCAGGGCGTCGGTTTCAAAGGAGAATGTGGTACCCCCAACTCGAGAATTTGCCTATCATATGGCTTGCGATGTCCTCATTCTAACCGCCCAAACGGTTACCTTAAATCGAAAATCGCTTCCGTTCACTTTCCATTCGGTTCTACATGATTAGCCCATGACGCCCTGTACATCCCTACAAAGCCCTGACTCCCCCAGGTCTCAGGGCGCCTTTGTATACTAAGAACTCGAAGTCACCCACCAGACCTCAGCAGAAACGGATTGGGTACTGCCCCGCTCCCCCGAACAGTTGATTAATATTTATAGTATACTCATGGTAGTTTCCCAAAATAAAGGGACCCTGATATAGATCCCAATATTCTATACGTAATCTTTATCATGAGGACCCCAAAAAGGGACCGTCAATTTTGGGGTTTTAGGTGGTGTTAATAAGAGTAGAGAGGTTGCGGGTTTAGGTTTTGGATACCCCTTTTTTGGAAGGTAAACTTACGAGGGATATACAGGAACCAATCCTAAAAAAGAGAATGCTCCCCTGACCTAAATGTTACTATCCCCCAGAGAAACATGGAAGCCCGTATGATCCCCTCTTACACGGACAACCCTAAACCCTAAACCCTAAACTCAAACCTAGACCTTAAACCCTAAACCACGGGACCTTTTTGGGGCTTTATGTTTCTTTGGGGGAGTGTCAACCCCGACTCAGCACCTAATCGATGAGGTTTAGGGCTTTGGGGGGGTTTAGTAGGTTTAGTATTCAGGCGTTGAGGGGGATTAGGGGGGGGGTTTAGGGTTTAGGGGTTTAGTAGGTTTAGTATTAAGGCGTTTAGGGGGTTGAGGGGGATTAGGGGGTTTAGGGTTGAGGAGGTTTAGTAGGTTTAGTATTCAGGCGTTGAAGGGGTTTAGGGTTTAGGGGGTTTAGTAGGTTTAGTATTAAGGCATTTAGAGGGTTCAGGGGGATTAGGGGGTTTAGGGTATGGGGGGCTTAGTAGGTTTGGTATGATGGCGTTTAGGGGGTTTAGGGGGATTAGGGGGTTTAGGGTTTAGGGGGTTTAGTAGGTTTAGTATTAAGGCGTTTAGGGGTTTAAGGGGATTAGGGGGTTTAGGGTTCGGGGGTTTAGTAGGTTTCGTATTAAGGCGTTTAGGGGTTTAGCGGGTTTAGGGGGTTCAGGGGGTTCAGGGGGTTTAGGGGGTTTAGGGGGTTTAGGGGGTTTAGGGGTTAAAGGTTTAGACCTTGAGGGCTGGGGAAGCAGAACACATGCCTGCAATTCTTGTCAACCGCATGT